ACTGAAAATCATCAAATTGACGCGTAAAACGAAGTCAGTCGTAATTCTATTTAATTAAATTATCAACTCAAAATTAAATAATATATTTATTTTAACTTATAAGATCAAATCAACATATTCGGTTAAAACATACTCTTTTTAATTATCATGGCAATCAAAAAAGTGTTGTATTATATATATATCTAAACACGTTACACTTAAATTATTAAATTATTAAATTATTTTGCATATTTTCGAAGATTTAATCATCCCATGAATAAAAATTTTAATTATTAACAAGTCATAAGTAATATTTTTCACGTGTATAATATACAAAATATTATAGGTACATTTTGTTTAAATCTTATGTATCACGAATGTGTTTCGACGAGTTCTTAGAAATGAACATTTTAATAATAAAACTATAATAATGTAATCAGTGCTCGACTTGTGGGGGGGACGCACGGGGACGGAGTACCCCAACAAATTTTCAGAAATTTTAGCTTACCCCTACTATTATTATGTTATAATTATAACGCTTAACATTTTTCGGGGACGCTCTTTTTTTTTTAAAGTAAATAGAGTCCCCCTTCTTTAATTTTTCCAAGCCGAGCACTGAATGTCATACATAAACAGCGTTAAGATTAAAAATACTTAATTTTGTACATAATTTTCATCTAGTATAATAAATATATTTTATTATTTTATAATACCCAACTAAAGATGGCTTTCGAGATTAACAATTATATTATAACGCATTTACATTCACAAATGAAATACGCCAACACAGAAATCACCTTCGGATCATTTGGTAAATTGCATTGCGGCAAACAATAAAATATAATCGAACACTGTATACACACGGATACACGAGTACATTAATTTTGAATTATAAGATAACTCATCAGCAAATGTAGTTTCGCTCGGAGGTGAGATAGTTGATGATAAGTATAAAGACTGACACGGAATAACAACTTGATTATAGTGTAAATCGGTCTTAAAATATTGGTCGGTTAAAAAAAAAACACATAATAATAAGACAAGCGATATACAGTGAAAAACTCTCGGCAGAATAAATCATGTTTTTCACGAAACCGCATCAGTCGCCGTCGTGAGCATCGTACGGTGTAAAATATTTTTAAAATCCTATTTGCCAAAACGAATCGTATACTATTAACGCACACACACACGATTTGTGCATGCATGCATAATATACGATGAATAGTTTACATGATGAGACGCCTACGCAGAATTATAAATCTGAGTAATAAATTCATATTTCACGTGCCGGGCGAGTGAAGAACGTGTAACATACCGCGGTGACACACATATTGATGAGTCAATTTTTTCTCCTATTCCCGTCAAGTTCAAAAACTCCTCGGTGAATTTTTCAAATCGGTAAGCGCGCGACTATACGTAATTCCATAAAACATCTAGTATGTAAGGATAGGCACTCGTTATCTAAAAGATAAATAGTGTATAACTTTTAATCGTGAGGCAGACGGCCGGCAGAGTGGATTTATGTGTTGGGGTATTATTACGCGTACGACTTCGGTTCGGTCCGTCGGTGAATTTCAACTGGTTTCACCGGGTTACTAATCACCCTGGTTGACTAATTAGCGACTTGACAAGTTACTCAGCGTATAGAGGTATATTGCACGACAGAAATAACCGGTTGCGGACCGGCAGCAGCAACGGCGTTCGTATATTTTTATTTTATTTTATTGACTTGTAAAATGAGAAAGTGCAGCGACGGCGAGTATAACCAAGCGACTATCCAAACTCCAGTAGAGTGTTTATATTTTATTTATTCGTTTAGTTTTACGATTCTCCCCCCCCCCCCCCCCCGGAGCGTGTGTGTCGTCAGCACCAGTAACAGTACGCGCTGGTTATGGAGGATTACAAGTGTTTAGGAAATCGCCGTGACCGTATCCAACGGATATTTAGTGCACAATCAAGTAATAATGTCTTCCTCGTTCGGACGTTTTATTCCATCGCAGACCGCTGTGGGCAGACCACCGCGCGAACCGCATACCGCCACACGGTGTTGCAATTTGTCCGTGTTCTCCTTGTCTCGTTAACGCCGCAACGACGCACTTTTCCTAACACTGCAATGCGGTCTCGCCGCGGCATTATATCGTGCATGTACCGCGCGCGGTGGCACTGAACGTGTTCACTTATTTATTTCTTAAAGCCAAAATATCGTTCGAGATCTCGGCGTTTTCGAAAGCGGCTAACTCGCAGACCAAATCGCATATGTATATGTATGAATGAATACTTTCGGACGTACAATCGACACGCAAAAATATAGTTTATTTCGGTGAACACGATGTCTACCGGTTTAACGTTATTTATTATTACCTAATTATTATTAAACGAGAAGCACATGATTACGTACTATAAATACCTATACACATATACATATATTATTTATGTGTTTTATAGTATTATAAAATAAAATGTCTATTTCATTAAACATTTTTTTTCACGTGAGCGTGCAATCGTGATCATATTATTATTATTATTATTATTATTAGTATTGGTATTCTGCCAATCTAACGTATTATTATATAAATTTAATATTTCATATTTATACCTACTACACGCGGGAATTGTCGACGTCAATGATGGCGAACGTATTTTATCTCTCCGATGGACTTAAACGTACCACCTCTTCAAAGAGTATACATATGTTTATTTAATTATAATATCAGTCAGTGATACCGGCCGTCAACTATCAAAATAAATTAAAAATTAAATTTATTTGTTGACACCCGTCAGTTGAAGGCTACGGAATAGTCAGTGACCGTTTCATGTTTACGATGACCGAGTACCGCCGTCAAAACCAACGGTTGGTAAACATACCGGGAATGTCTTCAACAAAGTTCATCAACCGCGGCTGATACAATACAGCTCAGACAGAAATATGTACTTATACTACTTCACGTTTATTACATTTGTTTTATTAATATTTTAATTAAAATTATATTCTTTAAATATTACGGAAATACATTTTTTCCGGTTTCATCACTATAATATGATTACAGCTAGGTTATATTCGTGTATTTACGCAACGCCGATTTGCCAACTTGAAATCCATTGTTTTTATAATTTAATTAAAATACGGCGTGCAATCGTTATTGACTAGTTAACTAAGAGAATATGTTTATAGTACTTTAAATAATACGTAGTGATTAAAATTAAATTAAACATTTCTGAGATGGATTTACGACCCTGATGTGAATTAAAAACTTTATCTCGTAACTTTATCGGCTTCAACAACAAAATTGAATTACGTTTCTGTTATCCTCATAAACTTGTAGTTTTCTGCTTTAAGATATTATCTTACGAAATTAAAAATAAACAAATAATTTCAAAATGGCAGTTTCATAATTGATTAAGTATTATTCAACTGAATGATAAATGTTAATACATATTAATTACTTTTGCACAATTAATAACAAATGAAAAAAAGATTAAACTTTATAATTAAAGTATCCAATGCAACATGTTTCAAAAAAAAAGTATTTCTATTTACAATTATTCATAATATAAAATAATATAATAATATACTAATATTATTGATCGTTTATATCTATACTACAAATGACATCGTGACGCTATTTCTCGTTATGTACACAAACCGATAAGCTTACCCCATAGTGATATAAACAGTTATGCAAATATTTAAATTCTAAGTTGTATACTAAATGTTTACAATTATTCGGACCCTGTGATTTATGAATTTACATATTTGATTAGAATAATCGAAAACCGTAAGTATGTCTAGGTAAATTTTTAACTGCACATTTTTCATTTTAATAATACAAATTATCTTAAAATTTGTTTATAATATTAATGAATTAATGATTAATATTAGAATACATGCACACGTTTTATAAGCAGTATACTAAGAAAATTTATTAAAATAAAAATGTGTATATTTAAATGAAAAATCAAATTTCTATGTAATTAACATCGGGTATTTGAAGACTTGACGAACTATTGTTAAAACAATTAACTTTGCTGAGTATCTCGTGAGTTATAATTTGGTGCAGAACAGTATTGTAATTGTCAAATTCGAGCTATATTTCTAGGACTTGGATTAATAGAATTTTTTACAAGTTGATATTTTTTCTTTCTATAAATTAAATTTCAGTATTTAATTTCAGGTGTCTAATACATATTATGTATACATCCAAACATAAAATATGTTATATGTTCCCGTGCGTAAAAAAAGACAAACAATTTGATTCGATTTAGTGTAGATAATGTAAAAATAATGGCTTTATATCAATTGCGCCGAAAATCGCAGGTAAAGAAAGAAAAATTATGGGATGGAAAACAGATATACATCTATTGTGCCGGTATAAAAAGGGTATAATTTATAAGTACACATCTATTGAGCCGATCGATATTCGAGTTAATACATTTTGCGATTACCTCATTGATACATATATTGATGAAAATGTAACTTTTCCCGTATCTTTGATCATCGTGTAACATATCAGGTGAATGAACAACAAATGCCTGCGAAGCATTTCACTTAGCGTTTGGGAAATATTTTTATTAACCCCATCCAAATATTTTTGTTTTTTATAAAGTTTTAAAAATAATGTAACGCAACAATCATAATACTTGTTCTCTTAGTTATTACAAATAGACCAAACTCTAAATTTATGACAAAAAAATAATTAGTTAAATATATATAACTAATTTTAATATAAGACCTAAGAACTTTTCAACATTTGTTGGATTAGTGTAAATATATATATATATTATATATACTATTAGTGTAAATACCAAATATGTAGAATGATAAGTTTGATTTTAATTTAAATTTTTGTTTTCGGCCATTATAATTTTTACTTGTAATGTATAGTTCAGTGTTTCCCAAACTTTTTATCTTTACCACCCACTTCCAAAAAAAAAAAATCCGATAGACGCCCCCTTTAAAAAAATATTGTTACAAAAGTATTCAATGAAAAATGAAATTTAATATTTATAAATATATATATAATGTATAGGTATAAATGAAAAAAAATATCTTAATGAGATGGATATGGTTGGTGTTTTGCTAGAAATTCGTTGATATTAGGTTTGATTTTCGTAAACAGCATTCTTAAGTACCCATGATTAGTTGTTAGTAACGGTTATCTTTTTTTAGTTAGTAGATTGGTTACTGCACTAAATCCACGTTCAACCAAGTAGAATGATGAAAATGCGATCAAAAATGTTTGTACAGCAGCCCACAATCCAGGATAAAGTATAGGTACTTATCTGCTTTTGTAGCCAGAATACTTGGTAACCTTTCTTGAACTTCAATTTTAACTCCTCATTTGTAATTACTTCTATAAATTGTTCTTATTTTGCAGAATCTATGGTTTCTATATTTGAAAATGGATCTAAAACCCATTTGGGGTAACATTTGGGTATGCTCATTTTAAGAATACCACCTTCTTTTTGTAATGAAATGTCCCCCAATTAAGTTTGTAACTTCCATTGCCCCCCTGGAAAACTCTAACGCTCACTTTGAGAAACACTGGTATAGTTGTTATATCGGCGCGATAGATGTATACATTTTAAATATACCTTTTTTAAACCAACGCAATAGATGTATACTATACAGGTAGTGTCCTAAATTCGGCGCAATTGACGAATACCGAAAATAATGACGAAAAATTAAACATGAATTGACATTTGTGTATATATGAGTTATATGCGTGTTATGTTTTCCTGATATGGTTATTTTATAGTAATCGGTACTTATATTTTATGCATACATAATTCCTAAGATACATCAATGAGGCCACAAGTTACGGGGAAATGTTTTGAATTTGTTGACAATGTATGAGTATATTCGATGACCTTTTGTGTATGCGGTATAGCCGGGTGTGCGTGTATGTTTTTTATTTGTTTTCCTAACATTGTTCAAGTTGTTTTTTCGGTAGAAGACTCGAAGACCATACATTTTAATATTTCCGAAGCCGGTTTTTCATCGCCACTGTCTTCGTTGTATGATCTAACGAGCTCTCCCCATGGATTCGAATTTTATACACAGAGAGACTTGTTTCCACTCATTTTACTTACTTTTTTTTTCCTATATGCGGCTTCAATGAACTGATAAACTAATACACATGAGATTTTGGAGAGCCGGGTATGTCTTGTTTGTACAGTTGAAAAGGTTTCGGAGCGTAAATATATGTAAATATTGGCGGTAAACACAACAAATTCAGCTGTATACATCAGGTGAGTTTCGAATTACCGTCATTTTTCGTCAACTATGAAGAATAATGAGATCGACAAGAAATCATTCACCGATAAAAGAAAAAACCACCGACGGTCGTAGATTTATTTTTTCATCGCGTTATACAAAATCTTTCTTGAATAATTAATTTGATATCAACTGTAGAATACCGACGGTGTTCGGTGTCTTATTATTCCTTCGGAAAAGAATTTTGTTTCATGCGGTCATGTTATATTATTGTGTCCGCTGAACAACTATAAAAATAAAAATAAACTTTTATGTGAATATGGTTATTTCTCCGAATAAACATTACTGTTAATGCTGACAGTGCTATTATGACGATTTCCAACGGATTTTTAAAATTTGACAGCGGACTAATCAAAATCGATCAAACATCATCAATAGACACAATAATAATATAATAATGTAATGTTCACGAGTGAAAAAAATGACATCTATTTTTCGTGTCTTTGTTCCCGGGCGATTCAGTCTGAACAAAACAACAGTTCCCGCGCCCATATAACGCGGCAATACCGCCACACCACCACGCACAACTGCCAGCGGCTATAGTAGTACTTCTCTCTGTATGACTAACTCTGATATATTTTAATTAAATGTCATGGATCCACACACACAAACCCGTCTCTGTCGACTAGCCATAATTATACCTGTCAAAGATATTGTATCAACTGATAGCTAAATTAAAAAACCGTTCGTCGGATTTTTTTTTTTTTACCTTTCCTCTCTGTACAGACATCCATATAATGAACTTGACATGGAGATGTGTATTGGGTGTACATAAATTCGACGCCGCCATTGCACTGAGAGGAACGTGATATTTTCGCCCATGATGATAAGAACCCATTCATTATAATGATTTCCGAACCGTCATTATCCAATCCAGGAGCGGGTCCGGTTTTGAACATGATGGAAAAAAAACTAAGGATGTATCCTGCGTAAACTACGCGGTTACACCTCTTTCCGGCGGCGGCTCTGATTATAACAACTCATTTTGTCGTCGGTGTTAAACGTCTACGGTAATACACAAATCATAAGCTCCTTTGGGCTGTGTCGGCATAACACCATTCTGGTTTTCGGCAAACAAAAAAATTACACCGACGTTATTATATATACGGGACGTGTTAAAAGTGACGTGATTAATGTTTTCCTTTCCCGTTTACCTCTCATGTCCCCTTTCGCTCTACGCGTGGTCTGTGTCAGCGGTTTGTACACGAGTACGCGCTTACACGCGACGAGCGCCCCGCAGTAATCGGGACCCCAAGATATAGTGGTCTGGTTTTCATGCCAAAATCCAGGTTTTCTGCGAAGCTTCACCCGCTGTTGTCTATAATAACACAGTTGATTCCCAAACGTCCGGATCATATGCGTTACACGAGCATAGTGCGTTTGAATTTATGACCCCTACGTCGGCTAACATGCAATTTCCAGAAACAAAAACCAGCGAGCCAAACTGTCTCGAACACGTAGGCTAAGCGTACGGTTCGCGTGTATAAACGTCTGCACGGTACACCGACCTATTAATAATGCACACTAAGAAGCAAAAATTCAAATTATATTGTAACTATATGTATATATATTTTTTTTTAGGTACACGACGTTGTACGTACAGTATATAATAATAATACCTTGGCAGCCATATCAACATCCCATATTTTATTTAATGCTAATGAAAACGAAAATTTATTAAAATATTCTTCCAAATTGAGACTTAAAACGAAAATCAAGTTGTTAATACTTCAAGTAGAATAAGCAGGTTAAATTTGAATATAAAATTAAATATATATATGAAATGATATATACTACATCTGACGAGGTGTTTCCGTCGATATTAATGAACGGTCCAAGATTGAGGTACTCGTATATATATAAGCGGATAATAAATTACTCATTATCACACGAGTAAAGCTAATTTATAATACGGTGTGTTACGTAGCATGAATTTTATTCATTCCAAAGTTTGTAAACGTGTGCCACCTTTAGCTGCTGTAATATAACACCTATATAGGTATAATATTATAAATATATAAATAAAATATGTAGTTATACCATAATATCACGTTATAATCTATTCAGTAATCAGTTATACGTGTTTACAACGCATCTGCAGTTGAAATAATATATAAGAACAAGTGCATGGTATAATATGGTAGGTAGGTAGTTGAATACAAATTACTCGGACGCAACTCCTGGTAGTCCAATACAGTCGATTATAGGAGTCATCAAATGTGAAATGATTTCATTTCGGAAATTTTACGAGTGGGTTCGATTACAAGTATATAATATGTATGTGTTTTTTCAACACGGAAATTAAATTATTTCGATTTTTTTTCTTAATTCTATCCGTGTTGCCGCGGCCCACGCAACATGTACGCGTGTGCGACGAGAAACAATACGTAAAACGTATGCGATGTATGCGTAGGGGAAAACAAACATTTTCCGCGGACAATCTCAACGACTGAGCACGTGCTACCAAGACGATTTTTTCGTCGATTTCTGGACAAATGTTGGTGAGACAAATTAGAATTGGGCGTGTAAACAATCTTCAAGCGCGCGTGTATCGGCAGACGGCGAACAGTGTTATTCAAAAATGAAATCGAACGAATCGAAAACAATTGTTTCCGTGCAGATAATCGGTTCGTACTTGATCTGCCCCGACGAGACGTGCACAAACGTTCAAATCGCGTTTGGACAACCGTTGTAACGTTTTACCGACGACATCATGTTTGTTTTTCACGCATAACGCGCGGTGGCCGCGAGGACCGTGCGAAATGTTGTAACGTAACGTGTACGGGTAAAATCGCTGGCGGTGTACCGCCCGTGGTGCCGGTGACGAATCGTGTCGGTTGCCGATCAGCGGCGGCGGCAGTGCGTCGGGGTACGTGTACAACACGCATGCAACGTTATACCGGTACGCGAACCGAAGTCGACTGGAAAGTCATTAGGCCGGTGATTTGTTGCCATTTTAATGGCACGTGTCGATGGAATGCGAAATCGACCGGGTTTGCACGTAGGTAACTACACGCGCGCGCGCCCGAACAAAAGCACCGTTCAATGAAGCCATTAGCGCGGGCACGGCCGCCGCCTGATTGCGGCCAGTGTTGTTGATCGCACGCCGCCGCCGCCGCCGGGTCACTGGAAATCGTATGCAACCGCGTATATTTATGAATGTATATTAACGTTCATTTCGACGGCAGCCAGTGTCGTCAACGTTGCGCTCCGGTTTGCTTGTAATCCAAAACTCGGTTTTAGTTAACCACCCGTCATCGTACGCGTCGTGTTCACGTTCTCGGGGCAGAGACGCGATGTCGTACGATGTTTATTTCGTTCCCATGCACTTGCAGGTTTGTAAAGCTGTGAAATGTTAACATTGAAATTCGAGTTTTTTTCCCAGTTCATAATTATCTTGTTCGTGGGCATATATATATATATATATATGTACATCAACAATATACATTTGATAATTAAACGTAATATTCATGTAAGGAATTTTTGGTTAAAACAATCTACCGGAATGCAATGCAAGATATAACTCGTACGGAAACGTGTTTAAATCTAATATATAACTAGATTTACAACGTGTAACCAAACTTTACAATTAATTCGTGATACACTAACTCTGAACAATATTGTGAATCCCGAAGTGTTGGAGTATAATAGCTCGATCGTTTATTAAACATACATGCTAATAGCTATGTTTAATCAATGGCTCGATTGAAACAGTAGAAAATACAAATCGCTAGCCGATACCAGTAGTGCGAGGTATCCAAAGCAAACCCATGTATGATCGATTCACATCCAATTAGCTATTTAATGGCTGTCGTTGACTGTGGCGTGGAAATGTTATTATTGTCGTCTAAAAATATCCAATAGCGGTTTCACTTAAGATTGCACCGAGAGGGAAAACATAATGAAAACTTTGGTGAGACGAGCCAATTGTCATCGTTTAATTTATCGGAATTGGATCGCGGCCAACGAGCAATTTCCTGTTGGGCGTATATCCCTTAAACGTATATTTCTGTACGGCTAGGCCCAGCTGAATACTATTTCAGATGCGCTCGACGAGATACAGACGAAGACGGAGAGAGAAGGAAAGACCGCTGGAGACGGAGACAAATAAATAAATAAATAAATAAATAAAACGTTCGTGATTTGGACGTCGTCGTCGTTAAAGAGGTGTTCGCGCCCGCTCTAGTAGTTACCAGTGCGGCGGCCGAATACACGCGTACGTATTATAATTCCTTTACTCGTTCACGTGATGTACGTGTACTGACCCCGTCATGTAATGTCCTCGCGCACGTTGCGTAACGTTGAACGCGAGGCGAAATCTCTATTATTTCGATCGCAATCAAACGCGTGAAAACGAAAATCATTACCGAGCTGTGCACTCGAACGGTTTACGAAATGAACGCCGGGTAACGGGTCGGGGACGGGCAGTTGTCGGCTATACCGACGGCCGAATAGGTGGAGCGGGGCGGAGACACACGAGTGTAGACGCGTATGCCCGGTTAAAACAAAACAAAAGAACGTTAAATAACAATGAGCGGCACAATAGCCGTTTAAACACTCACCGTTGTCAGTGCCGTCTAGAGGTTGTAGGGCCCATGTGCACAGGTCGCAAGTGGTCAGGCCGTCCGGATAAGGGGGCTCCAGGAACGGTGGACGGGGAGGCGGCGGGGGAAACTTCCACAGGTCCTCCTCGGTCCACCACTGATAATCGTCTTCTTCCTACACACGCACAAAATACCAAAACAAAAGGTCAATTTATCATGATTTAAAATAAAAAAATACAAACAAAAAAAAATTAAACGCGCAATGTCCCATTGTTTGCGTTTAACACATTGCGGTTTTGTTTTTGATTTTTTTTTTTTTAGCCTACGCACTTATGTTAAGTCGGCGGATCCTGCGGACTTACAAATAGATATAATGCACTCCGAGTGAGACACCGGAGGGCACATATAAATCGTCGAAATGTCTATTTAGAAAATAAGCAACGCATTTCTTAAATAATAAATTGCATTTAAAACTGTCGTTACTTTACTATGTGTGAGTGCGAAACGCGTCTTCCACCACCTCTACACGGTATACCGCACACACACAAAAATTTATTTATAAGTAAAAGTATAGTAACTTATAGTATTGTACAAATATAAATGAAAAAATATATTACATCGTTACGAGACATTTTTCGTAAACTCGATTCGATGTGTCCATGCAGTATGTATTAAATAGTTTTTTTTTTGTGTCCTTCAAATAACTTACAAATCATACTAGACTCACTGAAGTCGAAGTCACTGTTTTTAATAGAATTTTCTACAACGTTAATTTAAACAATGAAAACTATACAGATAATACCTTCTTTGATATCGAATATTTTAAATACATAATATTATATTATATAAATATTATATTTCGCACGATAATTATAACTCCAGGAAACTCATCTATATTTATATATAGATAATAGATCTATATTTTAATATTCGACGTATTATTTGTAAAAACTTAAATAACTATTATAGTATAATATATTATCAAATATGCTATGTAACATGTGAGCATTGTATGGTATACCTATATATATATAATCGTAATAACTAAGTTTCTAAGAAACTAAGTAAGTTTCTTAGAAGATATTTCCGAGCTTGTTTTCAAATAAAATAAATACTGTAAAATTATAATAAATACAAGTACTTTGTAATTAGAGGGTAAGGAATAATATAATATAGACCTACAACCTAAATAAAAGTAACATATTATACGGGCTTTGTAACTTTATAATTTACGGACACAATTAAAAACATCATTAAAATAAACACTACGAGATTTTTAATCAATTTTGACGTTTTTGTTAATTTATTACCATACATTAAAATTCATTATGTTTTAAACGTGTATTTGCTTAATTATACAGTTAAATTATGCATTCGTATTATTTTTGCGTTTTAAATATCCAAATATCGCGTCCAACAACACTTCAATGGTGCACACGCGTTGGGTTAAGATTCGACCTTAATTTAATACGCTTCGGATTGCGGCGCGTCAAGACGTAGGTAAAAAAAAACAAAATGGCGGTAATCGTAAACACGAACAAACGATTTGATATTATAACATTATGTACGACGAGGAGCCTCGGGCGTCCGGGCCACATAACGCGGCCATTCGCACGTGTTCACGGCGATAATTGAGATTTACAAGCGCATTCAAGATTTCCGTTGGAAAGTTTTCGGAAAAGGGAATCCGAACGAGCGTTTTCACGTACATATACGCAAGCAGTCCGTATGGTTTTCCGATAAAATCATCAAACACGGCCGGAATAGAGCGTTGATTACGGACTGTGTGATTGGTGCGAGCGGGTGCAGGTTATAAGTTACGGGTACGCGATCGAAATACCATTACATATACGGTTTACTCGTGCTACGTATATATGTGTATGATATTTATGGTGCGGAAAGAAATTATCCGGCGAAGATCGAACGATACATAATAACGAAAATAATAACAACAATATTATGATCGCAGCGAGTACTACTATACGTTTGTATATAATCGTAGTGTATAGTATAACGGCTGAATTAACCGACGGTGAAGTTGTCCCGGAAAATACATTTCCGAGAGAACCTTTTTGTAAGACGTAACATCGTGCTCGGAGGATATAATGCCTTTAATTGAGGGTAAAAAACGAAACGAAGAATACGACGAGGCATGGTGCACCGCCGAAACCGCAGCGGGGAACGGACAGCTGCACAGATTGAGCGCGGCTATTCACGCATGGGAAACGCCGCGACGACGACGACGACTTTGCGGTCCATGTCACGTGTAATACACAGAACGCGTATGTTTCGAGTGGACTAACCTTATACGTTATATTATAATATAAGCTGGAACTGCTCTAGAAATGCCGGTAGCATTTTACGTCGACGTTTACCTGTGGGCTGCGGCGGCTATTATGATAAAGACCCCAAACAACAAATACACGGTTAATACTCCATTCGGGGTTACGCTTCCGTAAACACTTCTCGGCGGGTATCAACATGTATCTCTTATAATTCGGCATTCACAGTGTAAATTGTGTATTATATTATTATATTATATATTATTGTGCAGCGCTGCGTAGAGAGAGGAAGAGAGAGAGAGAGAGGATGATGGTGAGCGAGGGAGCGCGCGCGGGGTATAAACACTGCGCACCAAACAAGTAATTATGCCGCCGCCGCAGCCGCAGTTCCTCACAATTTATATTGTGTTTGTGTAATCAACCCGATAAAAACGGATTTTCGGTGCGCGCTTCGCGGTCTGATGGATTTTTAATGTCTTCATCGTTTCTCGGTGCTCCCGCTACGCCACAAGCCGAAGGCGGCCTTTTGTTTGGAGGTACCTCACCTACCACGTACTTACACGCGTAAAAAAAAAAAAATAAAAAAAAAAATGTATACATACAAGCACGCACCCCCCCCCCCCCCCACCACCGCTCATCAACTCTCGCGCCGTCGGTCATGGAGGAGTAGGAAGGTGTATTATAAAATGTGTAGACACACACGCGCGCGCGCGCGCGCACACGAACACACACACATGGACGCACGTACACACGCGTACACGTACGCACACACCGCACGGGGGAGATGAAGAGATCATGAGCGCGCGGTTATATTAAACGAGAAAATTGGTGTTACAACGTTGAAAGAAACACGTATATAGCAATCCGAACGGGCCGGCGGTGGCGGCGGGGCCATTCCGCCACGAATTGTTGCAGCTGCAGAGCACCGGAGGAGAAGAAGAAGACGAAGAAGAAGAATACAGAGTATCGGTTCGGCCCCAAACCGCCTCCTCTACACACACACACACACACACACATATACATATATATATAATTCACGGTACGCCCGAGATACGATATTATTATATTATATTATTCTCGTACAGTCACGATTCGGCGCGCGGTAATGTCATCATTAACTCCGTCGGTCCAGTGGTTCTCATCGCCCCGTCATCGCCGTCCGTACGTCCGCTGCCCGCCGGACAATACTGTACCGCATCGCCGTACCGTGTACGCGCGGTACTGTTATAATGTATGCACGCGCGCGCCGAAGACATGAGATAGTCTTGTGACGCGTACACGTCACCGCGGTTCTCATGCACATAAACGCGCGCGCACGCAGTCATACGAACGCGGACCAATTAACCGTCGTCGAATTACGTTACATAACGTATACGCGCGCGCGCTCGTCACGCCGCCAGAGTCACGGGATGAGAGATCCGCCAATTAAAGAAGGTTTTTTTTTTTTTTTCCCTCAAACAATAATAAATTAAACGAGAGATAATGAAACGCGATTGCGCGAGCAACGACTATCGTACGCGCACTAATATAATGCGTGTGTTATCCGTGCCTGTACATTCGAGGAGTAAAATATCTATGAGGCGTGTACGACGCGGTCGAGGAGTAAATTTCGTGAGATATATATACCTTTCGTGTTACTATTATTTCGTTCAATAAATCACTTGTAATAGAGCTCGCAATCGAACTACACGTACAATACAAACACACGCGCACGCACACACACATATACCTACGTACATAAGACGTAATCAGTGGGCTCCAAAGCACAAGTATAGTGATTTATTCGACCGGTCGTTCTTCTTACGGTGGTAAAAAAAAAAAAATTAAATATAGATAAAAAATAAAACAAAATACAAGCCGTGTAGACAATATTTTCCTGTGAACATTATTATATATACGTGCACTGTCACGCGACCTTGTTTCGCGGTCCTAACCGATTCTTTCCCGTTCTTCAGCAAACAACGTAATGACGTGTGTGTGTGTGTGTGTGTGTGTGTGTGTGTAACTCGGACGGTTTCATATGAAAAGAAAAAAACAAGTTCGATAATTTATATCGCTTGTAACCGGTGCGCACACAGTGGGTCGAAAGAAAAAATAAAATATTTGTATTTTTTATCAATTTTTTTATTATATTACTAACCAAAACAGTTTCTATATTAATAATGTAATATATATACACACACGAATACCTTTAAATTAGGTTTCAATAAAATATTCAACAGGTAAATTATAGTGCATGACAGATTTATAGTTAAAACTTTATCACTCTATTAGTTCGTTCGGTAAAATTAAATGTGTTTAACGACTCCGAGCAAACCTAAATCCGATAGTAAATAGTAAATCCATCGATTTCCTATCCAAATGTGGGAAGTTTAATGGATTTGTTTGGGTCGAGTAAATAATTAGATCGGGGCTTAGTAAGAAAAGAAAATACCGAACAATTTGTTTTAAATTAAAACGCCAAGTAGTAAATTAGAATAATGTAAATGACAACCAGATCGAAAGCTACGCGAATGATATAAAAAACGATCCCAATATAGTATATGTGTGCGTGTTCATGTATATAGGTAATAATATAAACACGCGACCAGTTTAAGAGCGTACCAAAAACGTTTCCACTTACCATAAATATGAGCGTCCATGTGTCGCGTAATAAATTGGATTGCAAACCCGAAAATATATTCAAAACCGATAGAAACAACTGCGGCATCGACGGGGCGACGGATGTTATTAATTTGAATAGGACAAAAAAAAAAAAAAAAATGACCGGCAAGTTGATCCTCCGAACGACGGGGCTACACGCTGCGGCGCAGTCGTTCGTGCAACGACGTGTTATGAGAGTATCGGCAATAAAGTGTTCAGTACGCGACATGGACGTCGTGCACGTATCGGTAACGCGTTGCGAATCCGATCGGAAAAGCGTGGCACGACATTGCCACGGGAACCGAACAGCGATGTGTCGGTTGGACTTAGGCGTGTGACACTCGCGCCGATCGGCCACTGAATGCGCGACCGATCGTCACGCGAAGCTGCTGCAGGTCTCGCGTCGTCCGTGGAGGTGTCGAAGAATAGACGGACGGGACGAGACGAAAGGTACGCACACAAAACGCCCGTGGAACCGCGGGGTACAAGTATTGTACTTATGTGGGGGGTGAGGGGGGTGCAGGGTCATTGTGCGGTTCTTCATCAAGAATCTATCGTCGTGGAATAAATCGGTTGACGGCGGTATGGTATGGCGAGTCGAGCGCGGAAAAATAAAGGCGAAAACCGCCGCGGCTAGTGATTTCGGTCAATAAAACTGCGCGAGCGGGTACGGTCGACGACAATGCGTAATCCGATTTACGATGTGGTACGCTATTATTCACAGGGCGGGCCCAGCAAGAAATCGTGTCCCACAGGCTTTGTGCTGCGGACGGGCAACAGCAGCAGCAGCAGCAGCACCGTGTACCTATGGCCGTGTACCGTCGAAAGACGCCCTGTCGTGACAATCGGCGGCGGCGGCGACAACCGTCGCACACAATGAACCCCTCTCGACGAACGTGGCGGAGACGCGAGCGCGGGGACGTCGCGTACATATTAATACGTGAAAAGGAACACGGCGCAGTGCGTGTGTGTGCCATGTCGTTAAACGTGTACACGCCAAGATCACGCGCACATCCTCTTCACGCGCGCATTGTGTCCCGTCGCACCGCGTCTGTCGCACATGCGTCGTACACGTATAATACGCACCCGCGCGCAGGAAACGTATATAATAATAAAAAATATACGTTATGTAAGGACGCGTGTGTGTACTGCGATATACGTCCCGCGCGAAGGAGCACATTGTCATCCTCCCCGAACATCGCCCCTGCCGACCACCACCGGTTCGAATGATACTCACGGTTGCGTGATTTCTCATAATCGTTCGCAAACGACGTGTCCGCTACACCTATACGGTATATGTACGTGAAAAATTTGTACGTGCATATACGTGTAGGCATGATGTTTCATGCGGAGGCAGAGGGTTGTTGGGACGGGTCGAAAACAATTTCTAATTCGTTACCAAACGTACGTATGACTACGTACTCGAGTAGATATATTATTTAATTCATGAGATTGTAATTTTTTTTTTTTTGTACCTCCTAGTGCATAGTAATAAGCGCGTCGTAAAATACAAGATAATATATCTTGTGGAAATAGACTGCAGCATGCCGAACAACTCAATTATAATAAACACACTCTCGGTTGTGAAAAAAAAAATGTATCCATATAATGGTTAACAACATATTTTATTTTCTTCGCGTATCCAACACCTGCTGTTCACCCCCGTAGTTAGTTATATAGTCAGCAGCAATCGGTATACATTACGTTTCTTATTTGATTCGTTGTCTGCAGCTATATATAGCTGCCGCGACGAACGGTAACATTCGAATCGAATAATATCTTAATAACTTATATACTTCTGTTATCTGTTAGTAATGAAAAAATACACTCAAACTTCACAGTTTCACACGTAAATTCGTGTGCCAAAAACTCGCGAAGCCAAAAGCGAAATGAATGTGTTGAACGTCAAATAACTATAAAAAAATTTTTTTAATCAACTCCGACATATCTATCGTCCCTATACACAGGATATCAATTGTATGTACATGTATATATTACATTGTGTTTAAAAATCATTTTTAGTACACTTGACCAATGGAAACGCATGTAACTTCATTATACCACGACAATAATAACAACAGCAAAAATACGTATTTCGTATAATGTAATATTTATAATACACATCAATTTAAACTAAGCGAAAATCAGTCAGCCCCATTCTGCATTACAAAGTATGACCTACACGCAAACTTTGCTAAGTGTTATACAGTATGAGAGTATTATTCGTCATAGGTTATGACTTAGATTCGGTTGTTTGTAAATAAAGCTAAAAGAGCAATAAAATGATTTAAAATTTGTTGAAAACCACCAAAATACTGGTTTTGATTGTACGAATACAATAATCAATTAATATTACCCCAGTACCTGTAGTAGTACATAATCTACTCGTTAAAAAAAGAAACATATATTTTATAAAGTTTATTTTTTCTAGACACTTTATAATTTACATTTTGGGCACTGCTCCAAATGACCAAAAATTCATTAATTATTTCAATTAAAATATAATTAAAATTCACGATTATGACAGGACACGGCGAAGCTGATTATGATATAAATATCAAAAAAATTTCAATTTATATTTTAACCGTTTTTTTTTAAACCGTACAACTGTCAATCCTATATGACGCGTATATAGAAATGAATTAATCGTACAAGGTATTCCATCAAGTCCGCTTTAGTACCCGTTATACACGTATTATATATACGTATAGGTATATGAATTATGTACACTGCATGGTCAATGCAAACGTCGTTCATACGATCGAAATAAGCGCTTTATCGCTAACACAATGTTTTCGAATCTTTATCCGTTAAGGCGAACCGAGAAGAGTTCAGCAGTGGTGATGGGCGCGGCAGTGGTGGAGATCCAACGATAATTATATCACAACACGGACAAAAGACAATTTGTGCGCGCTAGTAGATCGTGTGCGTAACTCGGGACGGACAAAAATCAAGAAAGCCTGTTAACAACGGTGTCACGAGCTATGCGACTGCAGCGGATTATTTTAATCTCCTCGTTTTGGCCGCCCAGACAACACACACACACACACACGTTTTTATACACATGTACGTCGTCTATTTTCTTTCTTTGTACACAATAAGCTTTATTCTTATATAGTTGTACTTATACTACTACTGTACGCTCCGCAGTAGTTCGTCTCTTTCACCGCTCACCCTCACCCCTATGGTTGACTCGACTTGGCAAGCTGTGCGCGTACATTATATAATATATACGCGTCGGCATGCGGTCGCGTCGCAGTTTAATTAGCGAATGCAAATTTCCGGATTCCGCAGACGACCCAGAAATAGAAGACCCGTGTTATTCGACGTGTATACGCGCGTGCGTATATTATCGTATCGACGACGGGTACCGCCGCTCGTTGGCGAACTCGGACTAATTAACCGGCGAAATCTTTTCCCTTTCATTGTGTGCCCGAAAAGGACATAGACAATAGCCCGTCGTCGACGGCCGACAGGCCGGTTTATAAACGCTATACTTTTTTTCCACCTACCTTTATACGTTTGAAAACTGGTGGAAAAAAAAAACTCAGACACAATAATTGTAACTTTGTCGTCTCCTGGCGAGCATTCGAATATCATTTTTTCGTTTTTCCGCACCTGCCCTGCGCTACTTGAAAACGGCAGCGGTAATTAGTTTGTCGTATAACGTTCAAGTCGCATATACGTATACCTGTGCCCTCTTTTGCTCGCGCCCCGTCGTACGTTAACGTCTGGTATTTTTAACGATCGTAATTTGTACGCGGAATGCCATATAATTAACTTATCGCGCGCGACATCTTCGGTTTCGATTGGCGAGGACAATTGTTCGTTCTCCGTTTTCCCTCCCGCCGACACAACTCTTGCTGCGGCGATGTTTCAATTAAAACAAAAAAAAAAAATAATAATAATAATAATAATAACATTCACGGTATCGCATGCAAGAAAACACACGGCCCTGAACAACCGTCGCCGATTAGAGGTGGTGCGCACGAGTAACCGTCGAGGTGTAATAATAATAATAACGTTTTTACATTATTTTTATTATTATACGGACAGATCTACCCGAACTAGCGGTCCCGGGTTGGCAGCATACACACGCGCGCGCGTACGTTATAACTTATAATAATAATAATAATAATAACAATAATGAACAGGCGCGCGCGCGCGCTCTCGATGGGTGCTGATGAAGACATCACTTGGCGGCGGCTGCTATGACGGCGGCGGTCTGCTGCCCGTCGAAGGTCGGCCTGTTTGCCTCCCAGGTGGCATTCCTAGTACCACCGCCGCCGACGCCGTACAGGGTGCCGCCAGCGTTAAACCACCAACGTTATTGTCTACCTGTCCGCGGTCCAATTTACGACTGACTTCACCACTCTGTAGGTGTGCGCAACTGCGGCATTTTCGGCAGCATCCGCGCGCTCTCCGTCTTATTGTACAGACGTGTACACATATATAACATCCATATATACCATTATAATCGAAGGATAGGCGGGAGAGGGAAGGGAAACAAATGCAACAATAAAATATCGTGATAGTGACAAATAAAACGTGTTTCCGAGATGCTGTAATATAACGCGTACAATCGATTACATCGGGGGTAGAGTACGGAGTAAAAACACCTGACGCGGCCTAATAACGAGTTTCCTACTTGGTTATTCCTTTTTTTTTTTCTACTCTTCCGTGTCCACCCGTACAATAATCCGGTCCGATTTAATTTCAAAATAATCGTCAAAAATTTAAACGCATAAACCTACATATACATTACCTATTTGGAAAGACGTGGGGGGGGAAATCTCAGATTTTTTAAAAAAAAAGACGTCGCGCGTTCGTCAATTATTCACGCTGATGCACGGTTTCTGTGTAGCTCACGACAGAAGTTTTTACTTTTACAGACGCTCATTCGCACGATTTTTTTCATCTACAGTTATTTTTCGTAATGAATTCATGAAGGTTTGACAAAAAATACTCGATTAGTATGAAATAAGCTACAATGGTTATATTTTCCCGTAATATCTTCAACCTACATATTTAATTATTTATTTTATTTTTTCGGCAACTGACGGGTTTTGATCTTGTGTAAATATGCAATACAACGCGATTTATTGAGTAAACTATCCAACTCGTTTTCGTAAACAAATATGTCTTAAAAAAATATACAAGCGCCTATTGAATGTTACAATAGGTAAATCACTAATTATGTCTACGTAGTTCTCAAAGAATCCAATACCTATACAATATTATAATTTAGTCTTGTTATACTCTTGGTCGCCCATCCACGCGTATTTCGTTAGAAATTAATAAAATAAACTAAACTTTACAACAATATATAAGTAATAATTAATGAGCAATAACTAAATTTCAACTCAATTAGCTAA